AAGCAGTGGTTGGCATTTTCTAGAGGATTCCACCTCTGATTATTATTATTTATTTAGAACATATTGTTGAAACATTTTACTGACTAGCAATAAGTTGTCATGACAGTATGTGTATTAGGGGTTTGGCTCTCAGGTATTTCCTTACACAGGATTGTGTATATTATCAAATACAGTGGACCCTCGAATTTAGTTGTGCCTTTTCTGTATGCAAAACTATTTTTATTATCTATAAAAATGTATTTTTTGGTAATATTTCCCATAGGGAATATTGTAAATCCAATTAAACCATTCCAGACACCCAAAAATATTAACAAAAAATACATTTTATAGATAATAAAAATAGTTTTGTATACAGAAAAGGCACGACTAAATTCGAGGGTCCACTGTATCTCACTTCTCCATGCCAGAGATTGCATTTCAAGTACTTTACAACATTCACCGTAGTTGAGATGTTTAATTGATTCCATACATCTGGTAAATGGGCTCTACATTTTCCAGCTCTGATATCTTTCTTGCTATGGGCTTACAGCCCATAGCAGTATTGTAAATGTAATAGCAGTATTGTAAATGTAAGAGTGCTTGTACTCTTGCTTCTCCCCACTCCACATACACAGTTGCATGTGTGTCTGGAGTTCAGGAGGTAGAAAGTAGTGGTTGCACAATAAAGGATGGGTAGGGATGTTCCAGTTCTGGAGGTGGGAAGGATGTTGCATTTCTGGATGTCATTTGACTTATGATGTTAGTGCACATCTGGCAAGATAGCTACAGAATGAGTGATGTTGAATATAGTTTCTTTAGATCATTCTACCTTGATGAAAAATGGCCAATATGGTAAAGATTAGTAAGAAATAAAAATGGCTACAGTATATCCCAGCAAGAAGACCTTTAGTTGAGCAACTAGAGTAATAGTCGAATGACTTGTAAAATCGCAGTAACATGATTGTAAGCAGCTTGCAATGCAAGTTGTCACAGACAAATCTTCTTCTACTAACATGGTTGTAGCAAACTTTTGCTCAGGTCCCTTTGAAGTCAATACAGTGGACCCCCACCTAACGATATTATTTCAATCCAGAATTCTGTTTGTGTGCCGTTATAGACCGAATTTGTTTCCATAAGGAATATTGTGAATTAGATTAGTCCATTTCAGATCCCCAAAAATACACCTACAAAAGCTCTTACAAAAAATACACTTACATAATTGGTCGAGCTGGGAGCTGATCGTTAGGCGGGGGTCCACTGTATTAAGCTGATGCTTGTCACAGTCATGCTAGTTTGAGATTTGTCTGTAAAAACCTGCATTGTGGTCACAGTGGGAGCCATGCTGACCTTAATTGGGTATAAAAATGTACCTAGTTGGATGGATCTTATTTAAGATCTGTTTTCCATGGGTTTGAACCTCATCCATTTTGTGAGTTAATAGATGGGTGGTGGAATTTAATGTGGAAACCCGTCCATTCTGTGAGTTAATAGATGGGTGGTGGAATTTAATGTGGTTAAGTGCCATATAATGGAAATAAAATTAGGCAAAACATTCCACATGAATCTAAACTGTATAATAAAACTATAAGTTGAGACAGAGAGGGATTTAGGAATTCTCATTAACAGAAAAATGTCACTGGTGATATTTAATGAAATGGTAAGAAATTCATATTCTCTGGTGGGATATACAGTGGACCCCCGGTTTACGATATTATTTCATTCCAGAAGTATGTTTAGGTGCCAGTACTGAACGAATTTGTTCCCATAAGGAATATTGTGAATTAGATTAGTCCATTTCAGACCCCCAAACATACACATACAAATGCACTTACATAAATACACTTACATAATTGGTCGCATTGGGAGCTGATCGTAAGCGGGGGTCCACTGTATTATAGTAAGCTTTATATATATTAATGAGACTGATAAAGCTATTCACTACACATGTTAAACCAAAATTAAGATATGCAGCGTTGTGTGGGGTTCAAAAGTTACAGAAAGATCAACAGTGAGCTTCAAAATGGTTCTCAGAGTTAAGGGTTAGGAAGAAACATTGTAAACTTAAGATATGCCCTGACTGATAGCAGGAAACATGATGGTCATGTATGTACAGTACTGTACTGTTTAACATACAACTATATGAAAGAATATATCAGGGTGATTTTTTATTTAATACCATGAAGAGGGGAAAACAAGAGGTCAGACTTGTAAACTAAGACTGAAGTGGTACTGAAAGGATGCTAGAAAATTTGTTACAGTGATGGAACAATGGAATGGTCTTCAAGAAGAGATAATAAGTGCCTTAGCTGCTGGAAATTTAAAAACTTATATAACATTGAATACCAAAGATGGGATAACAGTAGCATAGCTCTGCTCCTATAGTTACCAACAGGTATTACCTAATTGAGTTGCTGGACTGATATTGCATGCATGTATGTTTGGCTCATAACTAGTATGTATAGAGCATTTTACCCAGAAAGAAAATTTTCAGGAGAGATATTGCATTTACATTTGAAAGTTATGGGCTGAGAGGCAGGTGTTGGTGATGTGGGTGTCAGGCAGGTTGAGAGTCAGGTGTTGGTGATGTGGGTGTCGGGCAGGTTGAGAGTCAGGTGTTGGTGATGTGGGTGTCGGGCAGGTTGAGAGGCAAGTGGTGGTGATGTGGGCGTCAGGCAGGTTGAGAGGCAGGTGGTGGTGATGTGGGTGTCTGGCAGGTTGAGAGGCAGGTGGTGGTGATGTTGGTGTTGGGCAGGTTGAGAGGCAGGTGGTGGTGATGTGGGTGTCTGGCAGGTTGAGAGGCAGGTGGTGGTGATGTTGGTGTTGGGCAGGTTGAGAGGCAGGTGGTGGTGATGTTGGTGTTGGGCAGGCTGAGAGGCAGGTGGTGGTGATGTGAGTGTCAGGCAGGTTGTGAGACAGGTGTTGGTGATGTGGGTGTCGGGCAGGTTGAGAGGCAGGTGGTGGTGATGTGGGTGTCGGGCAGGTTGAGAGGCAGGTGGTGGTGATGTGGGTGTTGGGCAGGTTGAGAGGCAGGTGTTGGTGATGTGGGTGTCGGGCAGGTTGGGACAATAAAGACTCCACTACCTTTGTGTGTGGGACATTTAAATAAGAAATAGAGATCTCTACTACCTGTAGCTCCATTCTTTTAGCATTTAAGGTATATCAAGTGCATTTGGCATCATAAACTCGTTGATGCATATCCTCGTCTTGCATATGTTGAATTCAAATGACCAGATTCTTTCAGACATTTTAGCCACTTTAATAGACACTTCATTTCCTGAGATTCTTTCGTATCTTTACACAAAACACGCTATAAATTATAAATCACACTTACCTTCATCATACATCAGTAAATTATAAATCACACTTATCTTCTGTTTTTTGGTCTTCCTCTGCTTGTACTTTCATATTCCTTCATGATTTCTTCCTTGATGTGCCTTCTACTTGGCTTGGCACCTCACAGACTTGTTCATGTACCTCAGTTGATTCCTCATTCCATGTCTTAGGCTCATTTGTGCACGTCACTTGATTATTCATTCTGTCTGTTCTTGTAAGATGGAATTACTTAGCTATATATTGGAATGATTGAAATAGGAGAAAGGATTCAGAATATATGGAGGCAGTATGATGCTTAGATTTTGTAAGAAAGATAATGTACGATGAGTTGGTTGGAAGGTTTCCTTTAAAGAATTGGATGCATGTTCACTAATGTTTAGTATTATTATTAAAAATGCTTGTAAACAATGACCTACTTATATTATCAAGTATAGGCTTTAGATACAATATATGGAGTATTAGAGATATGAGAAGTGGTTAAAGTCAAGGAGAACAGTAATGAAGCTTGAATGTTGAGTTTGCAGGGTTATCTGAATTTTGATTTCTGTGCACTTCTTTCCAGACTGCTATTGAAAGAGTGACGGTGAATGTGTCTTTCCTTGGCTCACCTTGCCTTGGTGGGAAAATGGTTGATTTAGTATAAAAAACTGATGAATGGATGAGTTGCTCACAAGATCCTTCTTATAAAACATTTATTAAAGACAGTGATACATTCATTCATTAATCTACAAAAATTGTCCCAATGATGAGTTTCTTTTAGGGAATAATGGGGTAGCAATAAGCAATTCAGAGATTTAGTTTAAATAATTGGGAGGCTGTGAGACTGCAGACGTAACAGCTGAATTTTACATGCAAATGTAATTAGTGTATAGAGGTGAAGCCTCGGCTGTACGTACTAGTATAACAGACTTGTAATGGTGGATTTAATTTTGTTGCAACCATGCATTGGAAATTGTAATAGAGCATTTATAATATATGGACGAGATGAAAATTGCTGAAAGAGTTTGAATGGAAGTTAGTAGTGCTAGTAGATTGAGATGGTTGTTGGTGTATTTATACAATCAGCTGGTTTGGTCAAACAGTGGTACTGTATGTGGAAGAATTGTTCCATTGCTCCCTAGTTCCTTTAGGTCTTCATAAGTTTAATTTCACCACTATGATCCTTCTTTCAAGACACGACACACAGTATTGGTGTCTCCAACACCGAGACAACAGAGACAACTTGACGTCCATCATAAGTGTCTTGCTTATCTTGTTTGAGAACAGTTTTAAGAATTCTTTTTGTGAAAGTTTCCTTACATTTAATGATAGTGATATATTGTGTTGCATTTATGTTGAGTTATTTAACTGAAAACCTCAAACGTAAAACTGTCTCCACCATAGCTTTGAATCGTATCCTAATACTTTGTTATATGTTAATATTGTGCTTTTTTTGCATTAACTTAGTTGCATCTGAATTAATAGTTAAGGAAGCAGTTCATTTGACCCTGGTTGTGTGGAGGCATTTGGCTAGTGACACCGGTCAGCTCAATTGTTTCTGGAATATTTGACATACATTATGCTCATTATCTAGTAAGCCTCATCTCAAAGTAAAAGGGCGAGATCTTTTGTTTTAATATTCTTGAATAATTTTGTAATAATTTCTGTCTTCTTCCATTTACAAGGGATTATGTTTTGTACATTCACAGGATTGGAGAGAAGTGATTCTCCATTACAAAAGTGGCAAGACAAGATTAACAGTGGTTTTGACAAGTTAGTTGCCTTTGCTTCAGAAGTTGACAAACGCCGTAAGTCCACAGAGGGCACATCCCCTCGACAAGAAGGATTTGCATCGCCAAGATGCAGCGAACGCCGACCTCCAACCATTGCAGAACCTCCACACAGTCTAGAACGTGACGTGTCATCTTTTCGAAGCAGACAGGAGGAAGAGGACATTGTACGAAACAGTGATACTACTGTACCCCCTCCTTACTCACCTCATTCTCCACCCAGATTATCACCAAGTCCCATCCCAGATGGCCGACCTCCAACGCCGCAGTCGCCGAGACCTCCAGTTCGTACACCTCCTATATCTTCTCCTCCTCCAACTCCTTCCCCAGACAGATGTGGGGGTGAATCACCTGGCTTTTATCCTCCACAGGGAGGAGAAACACCTCCATATCTTCCACCAGAATTGGAGACTACACGTCTAATTTCGCCTGTCACATCACCCACGGAACATGGCATTTATCATCACCATTTTAAGAAGAAATTTTACCACAAGGAGCAAATAAGTTCTATAGATGCAGATCATCACCACCACCACCACCACCACAACAGTACACATCACGGCAAGTTCCGTCCCAAAGGCAAAAATTGGCAGTGGAGAAATAGATCATCTCATCATCTGTCATCATATCACCACCATAGCAGAAGGTCCCCACCACCACTGCCGTCACATCAGCTGCCGTACAACAGCAGTACCACACATCACCACCACCATCACCATCATCGTCACACAGCTACCTACCCACCATCAGTGCCACGCCATCACCACAATCACCATCAACTGGTGACTGCAGCACCACCACCACAGCGGTCACAGGGCCCACAATCACAAGCCTCATACTTCCATCATTAATGTAAGTAGACTTCATAAATGTCAGTTTTAACATTTTTACTTTAATGCACTTGAGAGCTAACCTAATAATTTTGGCATACAGTGATACCTCGCATATCTGGCCTGCAATTACCCGAACCTCACCAATATCCGAACAGGCCCTGGGAAAGGGCAAAATTCTAAAATTATTACCGAAACATCTGGACAATCATTCGGATATGGAAGAAGGCTAAATCAAACTTGATGCGCACTGTATTGTACTGGTTGGCCACTAGAAGCCACACTCTTTGCCTTCCTTGTAGTATTATTACAGCTGTGTTTTGTCCTAGTTATCCTGTGTATGGCACCAAAGAGGGCCAGGAATGTGCTTACTCTAGAAAAAAAGAGGGAAATGTTGTCGCACTTGGATGCAGGTTGGTCCAAGGCTGGGGAAAAAACTACAGAAGACGACATGCAGTACTGGCTAGAGTGTAACGAAGACAGCCCTGGTGTGCAGTCTCTGATGGATGCAGAGATTGCAGAATCAGTGTTGCACCCAGAACATTCTGAAAGTGACAACGACAACGACCCAATGCCTCCAAGACCAAAAACTTCGGCAGGAAGGGCAGGTGTCAAATATTTTTGGAGTATTTGGAGCATCACTGTCCACAGCCCACTTGAAAAGGTTATGGTCCTGTGGTCCGTGAAATCCGGGAGGCTGTTATTCGAGCCCAGAGTGTCTGGTCCCACTGCCAGACAACGTTTTTTTTTTTTTTTTTTTTTTTAAGCCTACAACGCCATCACCAATGGCGATATGACTGTACGGATGAGCATTTTTCCTCCTCACGTATCCAGAAACTTCGTGTTTCCAAACTGGTCTCGGCCCATATACGTAGTTCGGATATGAGAGGTATCACTATTTTCCAAATTTCGCATTGGTCATAGGAATATTATATGTAATAGATTTCCAGCAAGCGTGCGTGAGCGTGTTAGATAGGAGTGAATGGAGACGAATGGTATTTGGGACCTGACGAGCTGTTGGAATGTGAGCAGGGTAATATTTAGTGAAGGGATTCAGGGAAACCGGTTATTTTATATAGTTGGACTTGAGTCCTGGAAATGGGAAGTACAATGCCTGCACTTTAAAGGAGGGGTTTGGGATATTGGCAGTTTGGAGGGATATGTTGTGTATCTTTATATGTGTATGCTTCTAAACTGTTGTATTCTGAGCACCTCTGCAAAAACACTGATTATGTGTGAGTGAGGTGAAAGTGTTGAATGATGATGAAAGTATTTTCTTTTTGGGTCACCCTGCCTCGGTGGGAGACGGCCGACTTGTTAAAAAAAAAAATAGTTCCCAGGATCATCTTCTTTGCAGCCTTGTTGCTCACACATTTTGCCTCATTGCTTGTCACTTCAAGAAGTAACATCTGTCAAAATAGTTTAAAATTCATTCTGCATCTAATTGAAGTACAGTGGACCCCCACATAACGATCAGCTCCCAACTCGACCAATTATGTAAGTGCTTTTGTAGGTGTATTTTTGGGGGTCTGAAACGGACTAATCTAATTCACAATATTTCTTATGGGAACAAATTAGGTCTATAACGGCACCCAAACAGACTTCTGGATTGAAATAATATCGTTAGGCGGGGGTCCACTGTATTACTTTGGAAAAGATAGTCATTTCGTGGGACTCATTAACACTGTTATCTTCCCTTCTTATTTCTTGCTGAATTTATGCTATGTCAACTGCAATATCAAAAATGAAAAATATAGTGATACCTCAGGTTATGAACTTAATTTGTTCCAGAAGGCTGTTCGAGTGCCAATACTGAACGAATATGTTCCCATAAGGAATATTGTAAATTAGATTAGTCAGTTTCAGACCCTCAAAAATACACTTACAAAAGCACTTACAAAAATACACTTACATAATTGTTCAAGTTGGAAGCTGTTCGAAACTCAGGGTACCACTGTATATCCAAAACTTTGAAGATAAAATAAAGTTTCAGATATAGTATTTTTAATTTTTGATATTGCAGTAGAGTATGTGACTGGCTTGACATTATAAACCCTCTTATTACTGTATTGTATCCATATCACTGTACAAAAGTGCACTACGACTCACGAAATAGTAATGACACGATTGCAAACAAACCATACCCCGGCCGGGATTGAACCCACGGTCATAGAGTCTCAAAACTCCAGCCCGTCGCGTTAGCCACTAGACCAGCTAGCCACTAGCTGGTCTAGTGGCTAATGCGACGGGCTGGAGTTTTGAGACACTATGACCATGGGTTCAATCCTGGCCGGGGTATGGTTTTTTTTTAAAGTGCACTATTTTGTTACGATACTTTTTAAAATGCACAAATTTAAACAAAATTAAAATAAACTACCTGCCCCATTTGCTTGGTGCTTATAGAAAAAACACAATAAAATATTGATAAAAACTAGAAAACACATTAACTAGAGCTTTACAAAAGTACAGTGGTACCTCAGGATACAAAAGTAATTCGTTCCAGAAGGTTGTTCGGGTGCTGATACCAAACAAATTTGTTCCCATAAGGAATAATGTAAATTAGATTAATTTGTTTCAGACCCCCAAATATACACTTACAAAAACACTTACATAAATACATACACTTAAATAATTGTTCGAGTTTTGAGGTGTTCGTATCTAGAGGTACCGCTGTAATTACCAAACTACCAAAGTTTTGCTTATTGTTGTATTCATGGTTATTATTTTGTCCTCGTGGTCTTTTTGAACTAACAAAGGCCTCTTGATCCAAGGAATTGGAGTAGTCCTAAATATTCAGTCTTTCCATGTGATTGTAGGATACTAATAAGCTTGCCCCTCGTTAAGCATTTAGCTGATTCTGTTTTAATTTTCAGTTGTGCAGACCTGAGCAGATAAGCTATTAAGACACCACCACCACCGCTGCCACCACCACCAACCACCACCACCACCACCACCACCACCACCACCACCACCAACCACCACCACCACCAACCACCACCACCACCACCACCACCAACCACCACCACCAACCACCACCACCAACCACCACCACCAACCACCACCAACCACCACCACCACCACCAACCACCACCACCAACCACCACCACCAACCACCACCACCACCACCAGCCACCGCCACCACCAACCACCACCAACCACCACCAACCACCACCACCACCACCAACCACCATCACCACCACCTCTTCAACTGCCACCATCACATAATTGTTGCAGTATTAAGGAGAACTGGCTTGAGGCCGCTGGGTCTACTCAGTTTCTGCATTTTCAAAATTTACAGTTAACCCATTGTAGACTTTTTTTTATGAAAACAATTTTCTTATGACATTTTAAGTGAACTGATAGTACAATTAAATAAAATATTTTATGACTTTCCTTTTAATTACAGCTGGAGACAAGTGTGGATTGTAAGAAATACTGTAAGTGTTGGTGTTATCTCTTGCATTCTCTATAGCTCCAGCAGTTATTTAATTCCCTTTAAAGAAATTATATTGCATATATTTAATTTGTGGGCATCATTTACAATTGTATGATATATGGCATTATTGTATCCAACACTTCAGATATAAGACAGAGAATAACAAGCTGACATAACAGCAGAAATCCTGAGTTGCTGGAGCATTAGTGTGTGCAAGTAATCCACAGAGCTGTTAAGCTACGGATGTCGATATCAGCTGTATGTGGTAGGGCTTGTAGTTGGTGTGAATATTAACAATGTGGAGGAAATGAACCCTTCGTATATGCTGTATTTCTGGCTCTCACTAGCAAGTATTACTCTAAATCTCTCAAACTTACACCATGATAAAAACAGATGTATTATTTAGCTTTGTTTTTATAGCTTTTCAGTTTTCAAGAGGTTTATACATGTTAATATATTTTAAGGAGGGATTCGGATACTGTATCGACTTCAATATTTTAACTCGTGAAAAACTAACACAAGCTTAGATCGGACTCACACTTACTAGATACAAATGCTTCAGTCAGTATTGGCGAGTCATCCGGGTGGCGAGATTCGTGCTTTGTATTGTTTTTCCCCTCGAGTACTTCATCCCACTTAGCAGGTTGTTGCTCTCAGTACCTGAATGCTTCATCCCACTCAGGACAGGTCATTATGTACTCTCAAATTAGAGTGCTTCATCCCACTCTGAGAAGGTTGTTGCTCTCGGTACTCGAGTGCATCGTCCCCCTCTAGCCAGACTATTGCCAATACTACTGAAGCATTTTTCTTATTATTGTTTGTTAAAGTACTTTCAGCCATACTTGCTCCTCCTTCACCAGGTGTGTTCTTTAACCTAACTGTGGGTCTTCCTCTAAACTTGAATGAATATAAGAGAGCTTTCAGGAAAATCTAACTGTGATTGTATATATACTTGCCATGGATTGTCTTGCAGGTAGGCTAAAAATTACAAGAACATTCATTCCCAGGCAAGTGTAATCTTTTGCAGTTATTCCCAAATAGGGAAAATTTTCACAGATTCAACTTTGTGATCACAATGTGGCATTTCTGACAGTGAGCAGTTATGATATAAGTGTTTTAGATTTTTTTTTTTAACCGAACCTAGGCTTCATTAAATATAGATGCAAAAAAAACTTTATGTAATCTTTATTTATATAGATTGTACAAGAAGCAGGGATAAGGTATCACTCCCCTAACACTGGCTGATACTAACACATAAGGACTTTAGTGAGATGATTGCACTGCCATTGAAAGTTTTCAACAAATGAACCACGCACCATTTTTCCATTGACAAATGTTAAATTTTGCTAATTTTCTTGTTATATGCAAGACAGCATCCTGAATTATGTACAACACAAACGTGAAGTTTCATTCAACTGGTTTAGTAATAGTTGGAAGTAAAGTGAATTTTGAACTGCCAGTTTCATATCTTCCTAGATTTTGATAGATACAATTAAGGGACCAATTGCAATTTTTTTTTAAATATCTTGGCTATTTAAATCTGTAGATTTTTAGATGTCTTTGCGGTAGCTCCTTGCGGAGATTTCTTATCAACGTTAAATAATGGACGGGAGTGAGCAAATGTAATGCCACATTAGTTGGAGGAGACCTCGTGCACTCTATGTTAGTACTGTATTGAGGAAGTATGTTTTATTTATTTTTATTTGGTGACTAATACTTGTTGTACTTTAGATATTTTTGATACACAAATATGACAGGTTACCACTTCATTTGAATGATTGCTTAAAGAACTGAGATCTTATTGCAAAACACTGCTAATAAATCTTCACTGTGGATGTGTGTCTAGAGAAGAGTACTGTATTTGGCAGAATATCTTTGTTAATTATGGTGTAGGCTCACTAAAACATAGAAAAAATAAATAATCACTTATTGTTTTTTTAAGTCACAGTTAAGGCAAAAAATTAATAATACTATACTAAATATAGAATAGTTGAGTGAAATTCAATATGTTCCACTACACTGAAAAGGATGTCAGTGTTACATTCATATATTTGCATTACATAACAGCCCTCAGATGCAACATTTCATGATATGCAGTGTTCAGATTTTCAAGTGACTATTAATTTTTGATTATATTGACTTTAAATTTTGTTTAGAGAAAATCTTTAACTTGTAACAGTTGCCACAATTTACATTGGATGATGAGATATACCTATGGTGCTTTGGTTCATTTAAAAATCTTTCAGGATTTATTTAAGTATGCTCAATTCTATTTATATACTATTTATTTAGTTTTGTTTTACCTCATTGTATGATTTGATCCGTGTGTGATAATAATATGCAGGAGACCTTTCCAAGGGAGGAGTGCAATTATTGGTGGGTTTGGTCCACTGATCCTGCTGCTTCTCTCACCTCGAGTTAACATCACCAGTGTGGTATACAAATATTGTTATGTTGGCCTTATCTTCTGTCATTTATATTCTTTGGTTTTTGCGAAAGTTTTTGGAAACTTTTGTTTATCTTAATGCTGTTTTAGAAATCAAGAAATCATTGCAGAATATTTAAGCATTGCAAGAAGCTTATGTTCTTATAGTTGCCTGTATAGTTGGTCAACATTCATATAATTCAATATTTATTTTATGATAAAGCTAAGGAAAGTCTTCTTCATTAATTCCCATCAAATATTTTTTGTAGACTTGTGTTATTGTGTTCTGAACTACATTTTGAAGAGGGAAAAAAAAAGGCACTTCACATATTTGTACCAACTTTGCAATGATGTGACAGTATCAGGTTACTCTATGGTTCATTTAATAATTTTTAATTTGCTTTATTACCATGATATATTTGAGTTTACTTACAAATGGCAGTAATGTACATTACATATGATTGTAGGTACGAACAGCTAATATCTTGGATAAACTGTCCTTCACTTGCCTCAAAATGTTATTACAAACTTTATATGTAACCAGAAAAGTAAACAGTATGAAAACACGGGGCATATTTTATGTAGAATATAAATACAAGTGAAAAATCCTAAATAACTTATAGTATCAATAGCATGTCAGTCATAGTTTAACATGCTATATTGTCAAATACTGTACGTATATGGTATTAATAATTATTCAGTGGCAGTCAGTAATTTTTTTTTTTTCTTTTAACAAGTCGGCCGTCCCCCACCGAGGCACGGTGACCCAAAAAAAAGAAAGAAAATCCCCAAAAAGAAAATACTTTCATCATCATTCAGCACTTTCACCTCACTCACACATAATCACTGTTTTTGCAGAAGTGCTCAGAACACAACAATAGAGGTGATTTAACCTTTCAGTGGGGTTATTAACTTCTCACGAGGGATATTTATCCACACAAGTTAGACTGTCTGAAATGACAGTCCAGGTAGGTATTATCATCCTGTCATATAAATGTGGAACAGAAGCCTGTTTAATGTTTCACACTTTGACAGCACTTCTGGCATTTTCTTTGTCATGAGCATGCATGATAAGCAGTAAATTTTGCAGATTTCTACTTATATTCAGTACACACCTGGTACTTTCTTATTTTTCTTAATAGTTCTTATTCATGTAATATTTCCTTTTTGATTTAGGATACCTTTCTCAGAGCATGCAGTGACAAAGAATTTTATTTATCTCAATGGCCATCTCCTACTAAGGCAAGGTAACCCAAAGGAAACATAATCATCATTTCTTCAACTGCTGTCTTGCCAGAAGTGTGTTGATATTACCATTCAGATTACCCTCTGACTGCAACATCCCAACCCTTCCAGGGGGCAGACACTACCCTTTCTATTTTCAGGACTAGTCTGGATAAATGTTTTCCCTAAAATCTCTTCATAACTGTTACCTTGTTCACATCCCAACAGCATGCCTAATAAAAAATCATTTGTCTCCATTCACTTTTATCTAATATGTTTGCACAGATTTCCTGGATGATCAAGATGCAAAAAACTTAAGACTCCTATACCTTTACAATCATTCCTGTAATAACCCTTTTCTCTCTTACCTTCCAGCCAAGATATATGCACCTTCTTTGTCAACCTAGCCCTCTTCACATGCTCAAACCACCTCATCCCTCTGAATTATACCCTTGGTGACCCCACATCACCTTTCAATTTCTAAGCTCCATATTCTGCATATTCACACCACATTTCTCTGAGATGTGACATTGCTGCCTCTAGCCTCCTCGCCACAGCGTTCAACATTCATACCTCACCCATATTAAAGTGTTGGTACCACTATACTCTGGTACATTCCGTTTTTGCTTCCATAGGGAACTTACTTCCCACAGATACCTCAAGACACCATTCACCTCCCCCCCCTCCCCAACTATGGCTCATCACTTCTGTCATAGACCCATCTGCTAATATGTTAACTCTGAAACATCTGTAGTAAATACATCAGCTTTCTCAAATCAGATATGCAGTCTGTCATTGCTTATTTTTTTTTTTTTTTGTTCATCATCTTGCTTTTTTGTGTGCTCTCTTTTAATTTCCTTCTTTTACAACCCCTCCTAAATTTCCCCAAAAGAACTGTCATAAGCAAAGAGTAACTGTGATAACTCACTTTTTATCAGATCCAACATCTGTTAATCTTCTTCTTTTGAACCCCCTAGTATTCACTCCCTACCTTGGTGAGAGATGGCTGGTGTTGGGAAAAAAACCCTCACAAACTACTGAAATACCTGGTTACATCATGAATCCCTCTCAAAGTCATACTTTCACTAAGAAATAGGTCCCTTCTCTCCTACACACCTTAACCTGAACCTCGCTTTCTGAATAAAAACACAATATATATCAGTAGTGGGCTTAAATGTTAACATTTGGCTTAATTTTAAAATGTATCATTTGTTTAGTGCCAATAGCTTAGCATAATATTATACAGAAATAATTAACCTATACAGGTACAAGTAAATGTAGAGTAATTGCTCCATAAACGGTTTTGTACCGCCAAAAATTAAAGAAGAGTTTCAGGATGAATGCTATGTGTATTTTTCCTATTACTCTAATAGTGACTTGTTGTTGGAGTGTGAGCAAGGTAACATTTATAAAGGGATTCAGGGAAACCGGCAGGGCGGACTCGAGTCCTGGAGGAGGGGTGTTGATGTTGCAGTTTTATAACTCTAATGTAAGTGCGCCTCTGGCAAGACAGTGATGGAGTGAATTACGATGAAAGTTGTTCTTTTTTGGGCCGCCTTACCTTGGTGGGAGACGGTCGATGTGTTAATAAGAAAAATTACTGTACACATATTTGAGTTGCCTCTTGCATCCTGTCTCATCGATATGAAATAATAGTTTATGAAAATGAGCTAAATGAGGGAGTTTAATGTGATCTGCCTATGCAGGACATTTTTCTAAATACAGTAAAGATTTACCATATTTCGCAGCTTATAAGACTTGTTTTAGTTTCTATGGCTCAGTTTATAGGACACAGGGTGGTTTTTGGAGACATTTTATGGGGAAAAAAATGCATCCAGTAACCCACGAAATACGATATGAAGTAATCTTGAATACAATGTTTTATTGCGATTATAGTAATAGCTTGGAATATATTATAGTATTTCCATTGTATTTTTATAGTATTTTGGGGGATTTTCTTTCTTTTGTGGGTCACCCTGCCTCGGTGGGAGACGGCCGACTTGTTGAAAAAAAAAAAAAAAAAAAAAAATTCCATTGGAGGGATATGTTGTGTATCTTTATACGTATATGCTTCTAAACTGTTGTATTCTGAGCACCTCTGCAAAAACAGTGATAATGTGTGAGTGTGGTGAAAGTGTTGAATGGATGAAAGTATTTTCTTTTTGGGGATTTTCTTTCTTTTTGGGTCACCCTGCCTCGGTGGGAGACGGCCGACTTGTTGAAAAAAAAAAAAAATTTCCATTTTATTCAAAATGTCATATTTTCGTAGTAAAAAGTTAAAAACAATACAAGTAGACGTGATGTATTCACTCCCAGGGGAAAAAGAAAGGATTTAATTAATTATCCTTCACCTTTAGTTTTAGTTGTTGACAAATAAAATGATGCCATAATTTCTTAATCATATTTTCAGGAAAATAATGGTTAATGCCGGATTAAAAGCATTTAAGCAATTATTGATTTACAGTATTAATTGGTAAATTTAAAATAATTTAAATCAGCCTAACTTTTACCAAACTCATGGTGCATACACCACAAGTTATCCTCTTATTAAAGGAACGTAGTTTGCTGCAGTGCATCATAACATTAGTCACTAAATGTTCACAAAACTAAAGTACTGTACATTACTGCCAAATCTTAGTAAATTTTATATTAAAATTATGAAAGTTAAGAGATCATAAAAAATTGGATGTAACCTATGATAAATGATTTTTGAAAACATTGATAAACACAAAGTATATGTTGCTTAGCTTGATTTTTAAGTGTGATAGTGAATGTAGACGGATCTGTCTCAGAGTTTAGGTACCTTGAGGGTACCAAGCTCTAGCTGCCACATTTTTACATTACTAGGGTCGAGTGCTGAGAAACTGGTCGATGTGCTCTTATTGGAGTTACATTTCTTGTATTTTTTACTATTATTAGTGTATATTAGAAAACTTTCATTGCAAACCTGTTATAATGCATTATGTGCAACAACTTTAAGAAAAAGATTTTCCTTATTAATTCGATTTAAGATATCCTTAGCCAAAATATACAAATATTGATGCTCCGTTTTATTACTATAATTGAAATATTAATTTTTATAATTTTACAGTTGAAATTAATGCAGCAGACTTGCAGTGTTAGGTTAGCAGTGGTGGCAGTAAGGCCAAGTATTAATGCATTACTACCCTCAGCCCATTTAAAAAGTGTGTGCCAAATAGTGTTATTTATATAATTGTTTAATGTACAAAATTTAGTGAGAAACACACTACATAAACCTTACATGAAATTGGGATAAGGTAATCCCACAGAAGGCTGAATTCTATCTCTTGGTATCATTTTCATTGTTTACGTAAATGTTTTATTTGGAGGCTTTACTAAATTTCAAATATTTTGTTAGGTTTTTAAAGCAAAAACTGATCTAAATTCTTGTTTGGAAGAATTCATATTATGACATTGCTATGAATCCAGTCTCATTGCTGTACCACATGTCGGGGGGAATCACTATACAGTGGTACCTCGGGATACGAACTTAATTCGTTCCAGAAGGCTGTTCGAGTGCCGATACCAAACAAATTTGTTCCCATAAGGAATAATGTAAATTAGATTGGTCTGTTTCAGACCCCCAAAAATACACTTACAAAAGCACTTACATAAATGCACTTACATAATTGTTCGAGTTTTGAGCCGTTCGTATCCCGAGGTACCACTATGGGGTTTCAAAAAAATTCACGTGAAATAAGTTAATAGGAAAATAACTAATTGTTAATACAGATGTAGGTGTTAGTATGGCATTAAAATACAGCGCTAGTTACTCATATCTATTCCCCATTTGAATCTTTTACTGGTCTTACTTTGGCGCCATGTTGGGAGCTACCATTTATGTCAGCCCGTCCTCACACGACACACGATAATCTTTTGATTTTAGCAAGCATATTTTCCTGGAGATACCTCATGTATCTCGCCTATTTTTGTAATTTGCTTATATGAGATCAAATGTGTATATAGAGGCTCACTTAACCTGAACTAAATTAATAAAAATTTGATTTTTGGATAAATGTGCGAACACTGGGTAATGAATAAGAAATGAGTGAGGCAAAAATGAGGATGGGTTGTATAGGCTATCGGCACTTATACCATTTGGCAAGACAGCATTATCTCCAGTGCTCGAAGGATCAGCTAGTCGAGGACTTGTATGTACTATATCATCAGTGTAGTACAGTATTATACAAAGTCTTTAGGAACTTCAAGTAGGTACACTATAAAATAAAAATTTACACAGTATAGAGCATGAAAAGATACATAGGATAGAAATACTGTAGTTTGAATTAGATGTAAATGATAGTTTTTAGGAGGAACAATGAGGGAAGCTTAGCCTTGTAAAGGCCCTTATGGGTTTAGTGCTTGGTTATGATAATAATAATTAGCCATGTGAAATCAGGAAAACATTTAATTTTGCATATACTTAACACCAAACTGCAATTGCAACAGCTTGATTTAGGTCTGTTGCCTTAAAATACTTTCCTCTTAATTCATACATTTCAAATTTAATTTCAGACATTTGTATTAAATTCATTTGTAGAGGGAGGAGGATTTTTATGTTCCGTAATAGCATAAAATTAGTATAATTCCCATAGGAAAGTAATCACCTTGTAGAGCATTATTTAATTAAGTACACACAATATCTGATAATAATATATGAAGGTAATAAAATTAGGCAAATGCAAAAGCTCTTAGAGTTATGCAGCTGTGTTTATATAGAAGTTTTTCAATAATTGGTTTTGTTTATAAAATTTAAGTAATTCAGTTAAATAGGTCTGTTACGTTTCTGAGTTTACATAATTTGAAGACGCTTTAAATTTGAACAAAAATGTTAAGATTGATAATGCAATGTTATAATTTAATTTTAATCTATAACGTACATTATGATACCGAGCGGCTGAATCTTGCCACAAGTGTCAAAAGCACCCAGTATAATGTAAAGCACCAGGGGCTGTGAGACTTCCCCACATGTCACTCTAGTTGTATTTACACTACTGCTAATATAAGGTGCCGGGAGCCGAAGAACTTTCCCACATTCTTATCTTAGCTGTACCTACACTTAACCAGTAAAGTAATAAACTAATCAGTGTTAATGAACATGTATTATATGATTTTATTTTATTAGCATTTAGCATGGTTAGGGTGTGTGTGAGCCATCCTTTATAGAAGTGGAAGTTATTTGCTAACTTTGTGTTGGTAGATATTCATTACTGCCATAACAAACAGAAGTGTGTATATGTTAGTCCAGTGTTTTTTTTTTTATTTATTTTGTATATCATTTATATTTAAAAGGAGATGGACCTTAATGTGTAATAAGAATCTATGTGATGGATGACTTTATAGCTTGTTGTACGGAGGTTGATGTGCTAGCCAGGGTATAGAGGAGGGCACAAACTTCAAATTTTACGAGACGTTTTTGGTTCAATAGTTTGCCATATCCCCTACCCCTTTTAACTACCTATATTCTACCCACTCTTCTAGTTTTATTTGTGATACAAATTAATTTGTTTTTCTGTTAAAAATGTTGAGTATCTTGTACCCCAATTATGATTTTTTAAATTATATGTTTTGTAGAGTTTTAAGTAGAAGTGGTAATGCAACCAGTGATCATTAGTATAAATCATAGCTCATATGATGATACACTGTTACATCTGTTGAAGCAGAGCTGCACTCTGAATGTTGGGATGTCAGTACGTGGGCATCAGCACCAGTCATATTGCAGCTTTAAGTAACATTGGGCATCAGCACCAGTCAGACTGAGGCTTTCCCAAAAGGCGTATGATTATTGCAATGATTGGGTGTAGTTATGTATAGTGAGAAGTAGGAAGTGCAACTTGCTCTACTGTGACAAAAGACAAGGTGGTTGTCTTTCGATGCAACCTTTTGATATAATGTAAAATACATGACTGATTTTTATACCTCTTTTCACTGCCATTCATAAGAGCTCCATGCCTTGATGGCCTTTCTGTCAGTAGTCTGTTATATACCAAACCAACTTAGATATAAAATACATAAATATTGCAAACAATATAATTGATATCTTAAACTGCCAGATAAACTTCATGCACATTAAAGTTGGTGCGTGAATTTTTCTCTCAAAGAGAATGATAGTGTAGATATTGTTAAGTCTTCACTGCTCAGGCACCTGATAGGAAGGCTTGAGAGGCAGCATTGTAAATAGTGTAAGATAAAGTGTTTTGTTGTGTTGCTGGGTCACAATCATTGATCTCATTGTGTGTTCTAATGCCCCTGCTACTGCCAGTTACTTCTCATGGGTTTTATTGAGTCACAGTAATGAGTACATTGTCTACATAATCATACCTATACATATTTTATAGAGGCCATCCTATGGTTTTTATAGCTTGGGATGGCTTAGGCTGTGTACATCAGTAACCAGATTGTTAATTCTTATAAAAGTTTTTTTTATAAATTTATTATAAGCTAAAGCCAAATATTTCCAGTCTGGTTACACTTCATCCCTACAGAATAACAAAATGCAATCTCAGAAAATATTCCTATTGCTGTCTTATCATTGCAAAAACTAAAGTAAAAATTATTAGTATTGGCATGTCTTCTTCAGTATTTTAGAAACTATCCAATTGACAATATTTTCCATAACATAACCTTACTAGCTAATATTGGATGTTCTGTCTTGCTACAGTATGTTCATATATTTGCTCTTAGGGCTACCAGCTTTACCAGTCACTATTCTGTTGGGGTGATGTCTATTCACAAGTGACTACATTGATGGTTTACAAAAACAAGGATGATTAATAGCACATGTCTTATCTTCCAGAATCAAATACTGTAATTTAAATGTGATCCATCCACTTTTTAGAAGCTGTGAGCTCAACTAATTTCAAACAAATTTATTTACAGCAAGGGCTTGGCGAGTTCAAACTGCTGTCAACAGTAGCAGGAACTTGTAAATAGGTTTCATTATCATTCAGGTCAAGTAATTTTGAGGCTGAAGATGATAAGAGCATTGGAAAACCACCTCAGAAAAAATGAGTTTCATTACCAGCCAATGATGGCATAAATCTTCAGAATCTGGACATTTTAACAGGATTTTACTATTAGGAATGAATTGTTATTAACCATTAACATCAACCTTTCTTGCAAAATGAGAATTAGTACTTTTTAAGTCCTCTGGGAATAAATTAAACATTAGTGTCCAGCTTTTGATTGTTTGCCCTCGTGTCCATATGTGGTTTACTCACTTGTGGGATCATGACTGTAAGTACAAAAAAATTTGCCCTACCTGTACTTAATGTAAAATTATCTTTTTGTATTGTACTCCTTCTGACTTGAAAGTTTCCGCTGGCAGTATTTGATGCCTTCAAAAATGGATTTTTTTGTTCAAGAGAATTTTAAAATTTAAAGAAATTAAGCCTTGTAAGCTGTCAGTAGTAAATAATGCTAGGCATCCAATTTCTGACAAGATGGCTGGGTTATGATCAGGAGTACATGTATTTGGTTCTTATCTATGATGTCTGTAAAATTGTATCCATTGTTCAGAATAAAATTCTCAATTGTTTATATACAAAGCTTTAATTTTATTACCTTACAGGTTTATAGCACCTGAATTCTGTTACCCTGAGAGCAGACTACAATATTATATAATGGGGAAATTGAAGTCTTTGTTGCTGTCTTTGGTTACACTGAACTGATACTTGGTGTCAAGGATGCTGCAACTGTGAAGACCTATCTAAAGCTGGGCTCTAGTTCTTAGGACTGACAGGTCAAGCAATTTATTTACCCCTTTAAAAGGCATCACTTGTTGTGCCACGGGTTCTTCATTTGAAGAATTTGACCTTGTCTGCTTTCTAGGATCAAGTGTAAATACCTCCAACCCTCCCATTACTATTTTTATCAGCATAAGTAAGTGCTAAACCACCTACGGTCATACAGCCCTCCCTTTACTAAAAGAAGACAATGTACCATCAGCCTTGCTCGAACATACCTTCCATTGCTAGTGCTGCAGTGGTCGTGTCACTCTATCCGATGGAAATGACCATCTGGTGAGACATTGGTAGGCCATCTGGTAGGTACTTAAGAGGTAATAGCATTGCCTCTCACAGCAGGTAGCTAATCCCCTATTTTCCTATCTTCTGATAAATGAGAGAGAGAGACTCCCGAATTCCAAGGGATGACTGACACCCATTACTAACCTCAAAATATTGCTTCCATTTTTGGGAAAGTGGGATGTGCAGCAGAGTGAACGATGCTGATCATGCTAATAAAGTACACTGGTACCTTGACTTACGAGTGCTCTAACTTGTGAGTTTTCTGAGTTAAGAGCCGTCACTCAGTCAATATTTTGCTTTGAGTTGCAAGCCAAAATCCGAGTTACAAGCGAGCTTCAGATATGCCGCCAATTAGTGGCGGCGTATCTGAAGTCAAATCTAACTCTACCCAGAGGAATGTCAGGTACTTTGTCCCATACCACATGCTCTTTCAAGACATAACTGGAAGGATAATACTCCCACACTAATCCCAGATTGTAGTGAGGGACCTTCTCCCTTGTTTGGATCTCATATAAATCCAGGGAAGAGGTGACCTCCATTTCAGCACTTGAGTTTTTCTAGAAACATTAATTAAGGTGGGTGGAGTATACAATATTTTTTTTTTTTTTTTTTTTTTTTTCAACAAGTCGGCTGTCTCCCACCGAGGCAGGGTGACCCAAAAAAGAAAGAAAATCCCCAAAAAGAAAATACTTTCATCATCATTCAACACTTTCACCACACTCGCACATTATCACTGTTTTTGCAGAGGTGCTCAGAATACAACAGTCTAGAAGCATACACATATAAAGATACACAACATATCCCTCCAAACTGCCAATATCCCAAACCCCTCCTTTAAAGTGCAGGCATTGTACTTCCCATTTCCAGGACTCAAGTCCGACTATATGAAAATAACCGGTTTCCCTGAATCCCTTCACTAAATATTACCCTGCTCACACTCCAACAGATCGTCAGGTCCCAAGTACCATTCGTCTCCATTCACTCCTATCTAACACGCTCACGCACGCTTGCTGGATGTCCAAGCCCCTTACCCACAAAACCTCCTTTACCCCCTCTCTCCAACCCTTTCGAGGACGACCCTTACCCCGCCTTCCTATTTATAAATACATTTTTCTTATTTAAGAACATGAGAAAGAAGGAACTCTGCAACAGGCCTACTGGCTCATGCGAAGCAGGTCCAGGTCTCGTACCGGCTTAAGCCATTGCCCTAACCTAGTCAGGTCAGGTCACATTCACTTAACTTATACAACTTTAACTTATACAACTCTCATAACCATCTACGAAAGGTGTATACACAGGATTTTTTCAGGTTTATGGAGATAAATTGATCCAAGAAAATGAGAGAGAAAAAGTTTTTTGGCCGGATTTTCTATGCTGATTCAGAATATACACTTGAAAATGTAAAATGATCTCATTTTATCATCATACAAGGCCTGAACCCCTCAAGGAAGGTTCCTTGATGTTGGTGAGGGGCTCTTGATTTAGGGAATTGGATCTGTGCTCCAGTTCCCCAAATTAAGCCTGAATGCCTTCCACATACCCCCCCAGGCGCTGTATAATCCTCCGGGTTTAGCGCTTCCCCCTTGATTGTAATAATAATAATAACAAGGCCTGAATGAAAATACAATACCAGATATACTAAATTTGCTTGTAAGAGATAAGTGAACTGTAGATAGAAATCCAATTGTACTCTTGTTAATCCTTTTGGGGCCTAGTTCTTAGGCCTTTTGTGTATCCATGTGCTCTTGCGCTACCGTCCACAGGATGGATATGGGGTGCACAATAAACTAGCCACTTCGGTAGCAAAATCTAATCTAATCCCTAGTCAAACGTATCCACCCAGCTGATATTTGATGGCCATTAACCACCTCAGTACTGTATATAGAGCAAGTTAACTTTTCCAGTGATGGAACTTGAATCAATGCCACAAATATTGGTACTGTGGCCACCCACCAACATACTGGAGGTCACAGGAAGAATAATCTGTGGACAAACATCATAACCCAAATTATGACTTAATTCCCCTTCCTGAAGTAACTGTCAAGAGGTCTATCCTCTTATTCTATTCTTACCAGTGCCCCATTTTCCTTTCATAAAGTGAAATCCTTTGTATAAAAGATAATGAGGGGGTTGTCATGTAACCAAGCCATTATCTAATTCTGCCTAAAGGGGAGACTGTCTTGCATCTCCTACCCTGGAGTTGTTATATAATCCCAATGGGTTTAGCGCTCCCCATCATTATAATAATCCCTTGGCACTGTGGCCCACATATGGGTCGCCCCTTTTCCCTATAAATGTAATATGGAAGCTGGTAGAGGTGAGCGCCTCTGGTGGCGAGAGTGGACACTAGGTGTTGTCAGTCTTAGTAACATCAGTTGAAGGAAGAAACTCTCAGTGTCAATGTGACCTTCAGAGGGAGAGGATGTCGCTCTTGCTCCTCCTCGTACCCTTACAGGTTTACCTTCCATAACCTGGTAGACATTACTACATCATCTGAGAACTGTCGTGTGTGGTCCCCGTACAGGTTTAGCGCCTCTCAGTCAAGACAACACTGCTAATTATGGTGAGTATTGTGTATGTCATGTGATGACTGTGAAGGGCTCTTGATCCAAGGAACTGCACTCGTCTTCCCTGGATCAAACCAGAATCTCTTATTCCGTAATAGATGTATAACTCGTATAGGTTTAGCGCTTCCACAGGAAGCTCTAAACGCGGAGGAGGGGAAGGGTTGAATTCTTAAGGAAGCGTTAAACCAGTAGGGGCCTCACGGAACCTATGGGAGGTGGCAGTCAGGTTTAATCCAAGGGAGAAGAGTAGCTCCAACTCCATGGATCAAGAGCCCTTCAGTGGTATCCCCCCTCATGATAATTCGTAATTTTTATCATAATTATAATTATTATAATCAAGGGGGAGCGCTAAATTCTTATTATGAAAGACCCTTGCGGGTTTAGCGTTTAGTTATGAATTTTAATAATAAATAATGTTATAAATGTGATTTACAAGTAATTTTACTTAATTTATATTAAAAATAATCGCATAAATACCCATTTTCTGTGTAGTAAAAATAAGGCGGGTTTTAATTATATTTTTTGATTATAATAATTAATTTAGGGTTGTTCGTACGTTGGATTACGTGCGGCCAGCAGTAACAGCCTGAAAAAACCATACCCCCGGCCGGGATTGAACCCGCGGTCATAGTCTCAAAACTCCAGCCCGTCGCGCTAGCCACTAGACTCTGACTCTATGACCGCGGGTTCAATCCCGGCCGGGGGTATGGTTTATTTGCAATCGTGTCATTACGATTTCTTAAGTCAAGTAACAGCCTGGTTCATCAGGCCCTGATCCACCACGAGACCTGGTCACAGACCGGGCCGCCGGGGGGGGCGCTGACCCCCCGGAACTCTCTCCAGGTACATGTACATATAACTACAATTATTATAGACACTTGTAATATTTTGGATATCAGGAGACTACTAATGTTTTGAGTGAGGTGGAGTTAGTAGGTTTACTTAGGTACAGGTACCTAAGTAAACCACTTGTGTACCTGTACACATAAGTGGTTTACTTATGTGTACCTGTACACATAAGTGGCCTGGTAGGTAAAGCTCTGGCTTCACACGCTGAGGGTCCGGGTTCGATACCCAGTACGGGTGAAAACAAGAACATAAGAAAGAAGGAACACTGCAACAGGCCTACTGACCCATGCGGAGCAGGTCCATGTCTCCCCCCCCCCGGATTAGACCAATGACCCCCCTGGATTAGATCAATGACCCACCCAGTCTGGTCACCACCACTCAAGGAAGGAACACGGCACCAGACCCAGAAGCACAAGCTAGTCAGGTCCAACTCACACCCACTCGTGTATTTATCTAACATTTTTAAAACTACACAACGTTTCAGCCTCTATAACTGTACTCGGGAGTTTGTTCCACTCATCCACAACTCTATTACCAAACCAGTACTTTCCTATATCCTTCCTGAATCTTAAGTTTTCCAACTTAAAACCATTGCTGCGAGTCCTGTCTTGGCTGGAAATTTTCAGCACGCTGTTTCCATCCCCTTTATTTATTCCTGTTTTCCATTTATACACCTCAATCAGGACTTGTTTCCTTAAGACACCTTATGTCAGTGTTCACCTAGCAGTAAGTAGGTACCTGGGTGTTAGTTTTCTGGTGTGGGTCGCATCCTGGGGGCAAAATTGACCTAATTTGCCCGAAATGCTCAGCATAACAAGGGACTTTCTATTTAGTAATATAAGTTGTGTAATGTACTTGTCAAAATAGAGATTATTATTATTATTTACCCCTCAAAGAAGGTTCCTTGATGTTGGTGAGGGGCTCTTGATTTAGGGAATTGGATCTGTGCTCCAGTTCCCCGAATTAAGCCTGAATACCTTCCACATCCCCCCCCAGGCGCTGTATAATCCTCCGGGTTTAGCGCTTCCCCCTTGATTATAATAATTATTATTATTGAGACATTAAAGGGTATATGTGGAGGAACTACATTCAGTTC